ATCTGTGTACAGTGAATGTTATTATTTAAGACTTTAAAGATAAAGGACCCATCGTAAAACTTCTGTCTAGAAGAAAGTGTGTGTAGACCTAATTTAAGTTCTCTTTTAGGACCATCCATCCCAAATTTATAAGATAAATATCCTAAGAAACAAAAATGCATATTATCTGTACAGCGTATATGGTTAAGTTAAGATGGATTCCAAATTATGGACCCTTACTCTAGATTTGAGGGTACCTACCAGAACCAGAGAGCAGTATAAGGTTTTAAAATATTGGATATTTTTGAACCATAACAATGACGTTTGATGAACCCTAACATAGGTACACATTACTTTGCTGTAAATAAATGAAATATGCTCCTAAAAAGAGAGATCAGATTAGATTTATGATTTTTGTTTAAATACCTAGTATTTGTATTTAAAAATTTTAAACATTGGATCAGTTCATGTATGTATATTGAACATATTATTTTAATATTTTAGATATAATTTAATTATAAAATAGTATATAATACAATTTAAATTATTCACTTAGTAGTAAACATAAAATATAATAATATACACATGTTGCTTCAAGACTCAGTTTAGATTCCTTGGCTGATCGCTGACATTTACTAAATCTCCAGTTATTAAATAATATTCTATCTGGTAAAATTGACTCACCTACACTCTTATCTCTGATTGGTTGTAAGGTACCTCAACGATCTGTCAGGCATCCTGCCCCTTTTTCCATTCCACTATATCTACCACAAAATATATGTTAAATTAACCTATTAGGCTTATAGTGTCCATCCCCTCCTTCTTGTTCTTAAATTGTCAATTAATATTGTTGACTGTTGTATATATTATATCCTAGTATATTGTAAATTTAGTATTGTTAATGTATATTTTATATGTGCTACGCACCATTGTAAAAGGGTTCAGCCCATAAATCTTAATAATAATAATGTTTCTAAGAAACTGTAATATATATTAGACAGTAGTAAGATAGTAGAAAATAATATATTGTTACGGACGATTAAAAGATGTCCGTGCACAAATAAAATAACAAACACTTTCTAACGGATTACTTTCTATATTTGAAGTTAAAATAAAAACTTTCAACTTGGTTAATGAAAAAAAAGGCTCTGAAGTACAAACTCAATGCTCTGTCTCCAGCTATGGACTGCCGCACACGCGTTCTGTCCAGGCCGGTCGTCGGGTCTCGAAGGCATAATCAGCTCATTCTTTAAGACCTTATATATATAACAATACCGTATATTGTATATACACCTCACACATATACAATATATGTATAACAATATTACTAAACTAGGTACTACAAATATCTAAGACAATGGTTCTTAACAATATTAATATACACAAGTCACAAATATTGATGTGTAGGAAAATAATTAATAATTTTAAATTCTAAAATTTAAATTATTTCGAATCGAATAATAATAATGATAAAAAAAATAACAGAGTATTTATAATTCATAGACACAGTGTAAAACAATTTGTACATTTTTTAGAAGTCATCTACGTATATTATATTTCATATTTATGTACACTAAGACTCTTCGTTTTTTCCTCGTTCTAGTCGATTTAGGTTGACTTGCCAATTGGAAAGACTCTTCGTTTGAAGATTTTGTATGGTTTTTTTGTACAAAAAATACCAAACAAATCCAATTGTCATGCACAGTGCAACTTCTAAATAGTATCCATTTATAATAATGTTACAATCACCTCCCTTTCTTTTGCACATCTATCATTAAAACAAATTTTGAATAAGACAAATCCAATACTTATAAAATATAATAGTTAATTATTATTGTAAAGTCCGATGGGATAAGAAAACAAGGATGTGTGGCCTAAAGGTATCCGAATGTAGAGAAACTGGAAGAGGTTTTTTGCCGTGCTGGCTTTTTAAAATCAGGCATGAAACAGCAATATTTTTCATAATATATTAAAATATATATTACATCAAATTATTGTATAAATATTAACGCGTATCCCCTTACATGGTACATGTAATGTCTTGTAAATTAATTTAAGCTCAGAAAAAATTATAATGAGGTTGCTATGGCAGCCTAATTATATTAATCATCGGTTGCTAGGGGAAACATAGGAACTTTATAACATTCATTTCATCTTTGTTATTCTTTGGTTGTAATGGCATCTGTAACGTGTAAAATCTATTACTTACTATGTTACAGTTAATACTTTAACATAATATAATTAACTAATAATTTGACTATCCCTCGGACAATTAGCTATAATATTATATTTCTTACGTTTTTTAAGTCTATAGTAGAACAAGTATTTTCATCATCATTCGAACATTTACTGAAAGTGAGCACGTCAATCATTCGCAGTGCCAAAGTATTTGATACTACCCATCCAAAACTGGCAATCGTCGATAACATTGTCATGTATGTACCGCCAAAACGTGAGTCACTTATCCGAGAGAAAAATCCTAATGTGAAAATGTACATAGTGTATGCTAAAATCTAAAATCAAAACAATATAAATATTAAATATATAACCATTGTTCGATTATTATCTCACGTTTTCAATATAATATGGTATTCTGTCGTATTTAATAATTGCATACAAAAAACGATTCTGAGTGGAGAGGCTTGTCTACCTACGTTTCTAAAGATCTTTTATAAAATATAAATATTATTTATTTATTTTTCTATTAGTGATAGGTATAGGGTATAGGCTAATTTTTCAAAAATCATTTTATATATTCTAATTTTAATTATTAATTATTATGATATTATCTATATCATACATTATATTGTTATTAACCTATATACGACGTATCTTAAGATAATGTGAATTGAAATGTGGTAGCTTAAAAATAATCTAAATGTTTTGAAAACATAATTAATTATTGTGTGTTGGAAATAATAATATATTATGTAATGAAAAACCTTTTCAATTTTATATCCATAATATTTTTTGAATTACAAGAAAAAAAACAAAATATATTTTGTGGAAAACTGTTGTTGCATAACATTTCCCGTTTTAACATAAAGTTTTTTTTTTTAGTTTTTAACGTTTTTTTTTAAATAAACTGAGAATTTTCTACTTTTCTTCTATATGTTGAGAGCTAAGATATCAATAAACAAAATATAAATTATAAATTTAAAAAAAATACTCATTATTGTTGAACAAATTCATTAATCGATCCACTCAGAAAATCTAATGTAAAATAGTTATTGTACATATTACACATATTATTGTACTATGCGTATTATCAGAATGACATTATTTAATTGCATTTTATAAATAGAGTGCATGTTATATTGTTTGCGGACCAACTCTTGATTTTTCAATTTTAATTTTAGTAGATACCTATAGGTACAATTTGATTAATACTCATTTTTAGTTTTCAACACTTTTCCGTGTTCACAAGTGGTAATGGCAATTTAAATATATGTATGAATTAGTTAAAAAAAACGTATCAACCAACCTCATGTATTATGCTTATAAATACTAAAATCAAATAATAATATGTAGGTACATTTACAACTCCATTATTTTTAATCAAAATTGGCGTGTAGTAAATTAATACAACATAAGCAATGCTCCAAAGTAACCTGAAACATAATTAATAAAAACATCATCTATTTTTTCACTTAAATTACAGGTACAACTACTTTATACAATTTCCAATAGGATACCTACAGAGATTTGGTGGCCAATAATGTTTTACACATTTTATAACGTTTTATTGTTTTTCATAACTCTAAATAGTTAATTTGAGAGTCCTATAATAAAGTAATCATATAATTTTTTGGTTGCGACAAATTTGAGAAAATAAATTAAGTTTATAATAATGTGTATGGATATTGTATGATTTACCAATTTTAAATTATAATTTATTTTTTAATTTTTATACCTGATTGGCATTAAATTCAGGTATGCACTCATCGGTTTTGTACCTGAAGTATATTTTGATACAACGATAGGTACAATAAATTTTACTATATACAATGATATAGTTATTATCATTATATCATCTTTAGATACACCGGCATCAATTAGTTTTAATTTTGACACAGCATCTGTTGCTGAAAATCCAATCTAAATAAACAAAAAATAAAAATTTACTGATAAAAATTAATTGCAATTTATTATTCAAGAAGTTTAATTAAAATTAACACAATATTCACCTTCATTGTTAACAATGCAATTGCCAATACTCGAATATTGGGCAGCTTTAAAATTTTCCAAAGAAGTTTATAACTTTTAAAAACGTTAATTTTTACGTGCCCCTCTTCTAGTCTGTTATCCATTTCTCTTTTGAATATACCAATAAATGTTGTTATCAACATAATTGTAAAGCTCCAAAAATACAAAAAACCTAATACAAATTATAAAATAAAATTCGTATGGTTAAAAATGTTTTAAAAAAGTTCTAATGGTGGACATTTTAAATTATTGGCACTCCAATTTAACACTCAACTTGTACTTAATTAAATACATTTTAAACATGGTGATTGATTAATTGACACACTATAAAAATAAAGAGGTCATTAATAGTACAATACTAAAGGGTAAAATTATTGAAAATATAAATAAGTATTATACTTAAGTGTTTATAGCCAAAGTCTCTAAATACGTATTTTTGAAAACCTACTTTATAACGCTGTACATGATACACATTGATTAGAAACACTAAAACACTGATTATAGAGCATTTTTACCGTTTAATGACGTACCTTTCATAGTGATTATGCCTCCTGTGCTGGGCGTTATCCGTAAGTATTTATTACAAAAGTCTTCTGATGTTAGTAAAACAGGACAAATAGTGCCTATAAGCACACCCAATGCTAAGCCCGTCCCGTTGCAGGTGGACGCATGACCCACATTGTTCCTGGGAAATCATTAACCGATGTATGTTATCAGTGTCTAGCCATATCTTAGAGCTGTGGTGCACGCAGAATCGCAGACACAACTTACTTTTTTAGCATTGTCAGTGCCCATCCATCGACAACTATATCTTGTGTTGCGGCCAAGAAGCTGATGACACAAAACGTAAACACTAGAGCTTTGAGATTAGGTATTTCAGAGTCCGGCAACCACTCGTCGATGTTAATGGCCGTATAGAGTAAAACCACCCCTGTTCAATGCATAAATAATAAATAGTGTAAATGTTTTGAGACAAAATATAGTCACAAACAGAACACGGAGAACAAAAAGACCTAATATTATTGCATTAAAATATGCACAGAGGGAATTTAAAATCTATGACAATTGAATTGAAATTAATCTAAATTCTTATATTTTTCCATAAACTGCTTTTCGGAGAGCTACTGTCTATAATTAATTTTAAAGCTTGGATCATTGTTTATGTTTTTGAGTATTTTTTGATAACATAAATATTTGAAACTGTACAATTTATATAATTTATATATCAAACTACGTGTTCCACGTCTAAATTGTATTTTATCATAAATTCATACGTGTGTTTATTTTTTATGCATATTTATGATCTTAGCCCGGAAGAATATTAAATAGTTACAACTATCGGCAATCTGTATAGAAAAAATTCATAATTTCATAACAATATCATTAATGCATTGAGTGTGACCTATCATTCTTATGATTGAAAAGCACACGGTATTTATTAGATAGTATAATATTATAATTTATAACTGTATTAGGTATGTGGAGGTGGACACGTATGTATTGTAATAAAAAGTTAAAACCAAATAATCAGAAATATAGTTGTAACTTTAAAAAAATTGTACCTATATATAATATGTTCACGAAATTTATTCATAAACAAATCCATTATACTATATGATTTACTAACTAAATCGATTGAAGAAAAAAAAAATATTAAAGAGTTTCCTATAAGATGCATTAAAAACAGATTAATTATTATAACAATTGCATATCAAGATTTTTTTTAACCATCATCTTTTTAGGTGTTAATATGTTAAGTTTTAAGTAGAAAATAATATATTTGTATACCCATCAAGAATTGAACGAAAATGAGCCAAGATTTTCGTCTGCCTATCCATTGTACGTACAGTGAGTCTACTATTGGTGCCCATAAAATTTTTATACTATATGGCCACGCAACTAAACTGAAAAAAGCCTAAAAATTATTGAAAATAATACATTTAATACTACAGTAGTACAAAGTAGGTAGGTAGTTGACAAGTCAATCGATTAAAAATACATACATATTTAAACGAACCATAATCATAATATAATGTAACACATAAATCTATGGTATCTATTACTGAGTTTTAATTAATTAGGTACATTAAATGATCAAACTAAAATTTACCTGTTCTTTATAGGTCACAATTTTTTTACTTTGAAAAATTATCGGTAAAGCAATGGCTAAACCCAAAGGTAATCCTTGTATTGTGTATAATAATAGCAATAGAAAGAAGTTCAGCCAATCACCCTTCAAGTTCGATTTTTCCGGCAAAGACGGAGTTGGAACTTCAAATACTTCTAATTTTTCTTCTTCTTCATTTGGTGATTTTTCCATATTCACACTTAAGACTCTTTGTTTGAGAAATTATATATGAATTGAAAGTTTTAAAACGTGGTATTGCACTGACGAATAACGATAGACTAAAACCTAACGAAAACATGAGTTTTTTATTGTTATTCTGAACTTGCAACAATTTATTGAGAATAGTGAAACCATTTTTTACACAAGAATTTTAAGCTATAACTATATATTATATATATATTATAGAGTATTTATATATAGAGTTATGGTTTAAATGCTATAGTTAAATTTGAGTGGGTAGTTTGAAAACCTATATTTCAAAGTTTGATATTCTTGCGAAATAAATTATTGTAATGGGTCCTATGATCATAATTTATACTGTACAAATATGTATAATATACAATATATAATATACGTTACATTAAAATTATTAATACTCACATAAAGAATACTGCATACAAATTATGATGAATTGGTTGTGATTATACTAGTTCGTCACTCACTTATAATAGTATTCATATTTAATGTTGTAACAGATAGGAAATCGGATTTCTTGGGATTGTTAAATGTTGTGATATTAAAGAATGATAATGATCGCACCGATTGGTTGACGTCTGTTTAAAACCAATTTCTGCAATTATAATAATATCAATAGACAATGATTTTTATAAAATATACAAATTAATATTATCAAACATTATTTGTTTAATATATTAACCATTATAATTTTTGCACTATAGTACGTTCTTGTAAGTAACTATTATTTAAAAACTTATTAAAATAAAAGCACGAACCAATATATAATAAGTATGGACTTGATATAAATAAATATTTTCATCCAGAGGTAAATAAATATAAACAACTATAGACGTATGGCCGTATGACGTATTGAATCAAATATTAGTTATCCGAGGTACCTACGATAACGTAGGTCAATATTGCGCTAAACTTGCAATTCATTTAATGTGTACAAAATACACAAAATATTGTTTGCAGAATATGCTCATTTAATATTAAATTTGAATGGTTGTCGTATTTTAGTAATAAAATATTATGCCAAATACCATAATGTATATAGTAATAATATAATACGTCAACCTACACATTTTAACATTTATGTTTTTATTGCAATTCTTATAATTTCTAAGGAGATTTGAATTATTATTTATAATATTACTTTAAACCATATCTTTGTGGGACGCAAGTGTACACAAAAATACCTATGGGTACAGTTGCTTTACCAAAGATGAAAGAATCCTCTAGATTTGCAAGTTATATTTCCTATCGCATGACAAGTGAAACTAACCAGTGACCACATTATGAATATTATTTTGATACTAAGATGACAATATTATTGTTTTTTGAAAATATATACCTTAACGTAAAAATATATAATATATGTTTGAAAATGGCATTATTAAAACAGTGTTGTCCACGAAAGTTTCATTTTTTATTTTATTTAAAATTAAATTAAAAATAAACGTTATCTGTTGTTATTATTATATAATGTCTAATATTAAGAATTATGAAATTATTATATGATATAATAATATAGTGACTCATGCTCGTTATTATACTAGACTTATGTTTATGTATATTGTATTATTGTCTACCAAAGTATATTTACTATTTTGTCTAAATAGATTCATTAATATACATTTTTTTTTATCCAAATGTCCTTTTGAAGGGATCCCAAGTGAAAAATATAATATACGGCGTAAAAAATCAGAAAAAAATATGCACCTATTGATCTCTCCGACCAATTCGCATGTACGAATTCCGATGACATGATTAATGATAAATGCTCGGATAAACTGAATATTAATTAATTTTAATATACAATATTATTATAGGTAGGTACCTTAATGCATTTATTACAGACCGTTGTGGATTGCGTTATCGAACGAAGCCGTGGGCCACTTGTTTGATGTAATGTGATAATACACTATAAACCCGGCAGTCACGTCTCCTGCCGAGGACGAATATTTGCAATTTATCGGTGGCCTCCGCTGGTTCAAACGAGTATAAATATAATATGCAAACGACGGTTGACGGCACACGTGAGCCTAACTCTTGGCTGCTGCTGATGACGTTGATGATGGTGTCGACCGATTGTGAAAATCATAAATTCACAACTCGGCACGTCAAACGATCAGAGTAGACTAAGACTCTGAAACTACTATATCGTAGGTATACATGTAGTATTTCCATTATCCGGTGGCCACGGTCGTATTACGTGAACAATTTATCGTAGCAGGAGACTACACTTTCGTACAATTACGTTTTATAGTGCGTGTGTATAATATGCGGCATGTATAGTATGATGTTTACTAAAACAACGTTTAATATGCGAAAAAATATTATAATTGTATACTCTCGATATAATAGTAAGCACCTTTAGGCCATAGGCAATGTAAATATATTATCTATGGTTTTAATCACCAATGGCATAACAGCTGTCTAAGATGATTTATAAAAATACGCGTATTACACTATGATGAGTAATAAAAATGCATTACAGACTACAGTACACTGTGTTCCAAACGTTTTCCATAAGGTATATATAAACTTTATTATTTTCCCGTGCTGTTGTTTTTCATTCATACCCTAGTTTTTGTCTGCTGTTAGTAAACTTCATACCAGCTCCGACGTTCTACTCCACGACATCGTGACCTGTACTTTTTTGAAATTATTTTTTTCCAAAATGCTGGAAAAAGATTTCAATTTAATTATTAGCAACTATGTTTTTTTTTTTATTGTATTTTAACGTTTTAATATTGGAATAATATAGTTCAGAACGATGTTGGTAGACTACATCATAAATGTTTAAATCATCTGTAAACTTCATACATACTAAATATAGGACTACCTATTACCTATAATGCATGTTATTGCATAATATTATGAAACACGTTTACATATTATGTTACGATCAATTAGTTATAGGTACGTAGTACTATGCGTACACATCAGTAGCCCGAGAACACTAATCGTTACACAAATTATAGCTACCTATTATTTTTTCAACGAAAATCACACTTTTCAATTACAGTTATTACTTACCCTAAATTAGACAGTAATTTAAGTGATCCACCATATTATTATAATTACGTGTCTCTTAGTTACAACTTAAAAGTGTTAAACGCATTTAATCAAAGAAAATTATGGAATTTAAACACGCGTGGTTCGAGGTGGTCGACCACCTCAACGCTGAGCGGCAGTTTTGGTTGTTTGAATAGGTCATTTGAATAACCCATGTTTAATATTGTAGGTATGGTTATATTATGCAGCTAGTTGATGAAAACCGCTACCACGTGTGGTTAAACCGCTAAGTGTGTAATCAGTTTTAAAATTTAAATTTTACGCAGGGTCTTCCTGTATTTGTGAACCACCCACGATAGGTGCATCAATATCTTAGATTTTAAATGTTGGAAATGGTTTACATAGGAAATAATATATATCTGTCGACGTCATAATATATATATTGTGTATTTGTATATTGGTATGAGCGACAGAGGGTACCAGCTATACCTATAGTTAGTTAGTTAATGTAAAATATGAAATATACAGTATACATGTACAAAACAAATAATAATAATAGTAATAAAAAACTTATGACTGAATGTATATTAAACTGGTTGTAATTCATTGCAAAGAAACAAACCATAGAATATTTAATATTAAATCACACATTTTAAAAACCATCCAAAATCATAATATACAATATACAATAAACAACATACACGTTTAAATAGCGATTAGATCAGTGTATAGCATTATTTGTAAACATATAGTTCACTGGTCTCTGAAAAATCATATTAATAATCAATATGTTACATTTATTAAAATACTAGCTGAACCAGTGTACCACGTTGCCCGTTGAAAGCGCCAATTCTATACTATTCAAACTTTGTTCAAATGTTCAATTCGTTCATTTAATATTCGGTGTATGATGTTGAACACTAAAAAAATTTCATCTATCATCTTGAAACACTCAAAATACTTGTGCAAGCACCACTTTAAAATGCGAATTTTGAAATGTGCCGTCTTAGTGCACACTTACACGGTGGTCCGAAGGTACCGATGGAAATTGCAAGCCTGAAGCTAGCATTATTTATGATCTACACTGACTCAGTCAGGACACGTTCGATTATATACTATAGACATCCCGCCCCCGCGATGTGCGTACGTAATTAAGAATGTTTTATTAACGTGTTGTTATTATGATGTCCATGTGTAGGTTCCCGGGACAACAGTCGAGAAATTAGCCTTGGGAATACCATTTTTAATACACAGTAAGTTATATAGTTTTGACCAATATAATTTTAGGCACAGTTCTGAAATTATATTCATTTAAGTTAATATAGCAATCTTACAATAAACAACATTATGTTATTATTAGTTTATTTTTTTCTAGACAGCATGCGCCAATGTTGCATGTTTCCATCCAGTTCCAACTTTTATGTAAGATATATTACAATTTTTTTTTTTTTTTTTACTTATTCTGTTGACTTTTCAAAATGTTATAAAAAATCTTTTTTGAGGATTTAGTTAATTATTTAAAACTTTGTTGTCCCCTTTCCATGTATCAACTATCTGACTCAAAACCTTGTTCAATTCTTTATTTAAATTCAGTGTATGGTTTTCAAACTTATCTTTAACTTTAGGTATCAAAGTTATACCCACGTTTGTCGTTTTTACGGTGGCCATTAATATAATCAATTAATACAAAATCCGAACCCAATCGTACTAAAATCCGATGAAGAACAAATTTAATCCTTTTTAAATTAGCCTATCTTCTTTTCAGAGGTCTAATCTACACACAAACATTAATTTTTATATATAAATATATTGACAAAAAATAATAATACAAATCAAAAAACCAATAGCAACCAATAAATTATAATACACTATTACTATTTTAATCTGCAACAATAAACTAATTTTTTTATTATTTAGTTTATTTTTTCAAATGGCGCCACTGTTGTATTTTCGACATCTGGATTTCCTACTTTTCTGGTGGATTTAGACAAATGCTAGGAACCTTTTCCGTGATATAATCTTTCATTAAAAAAAAAAATTAAGACAATCGGTCAAGTAGTTTCCGAGAACATTAACATCAAAGATTTCAATTTTCGGCTTTATATATTAAGAACATATTGACTATAAAACTATAAACAAAATAAAGTCAATCAAATTAAACGTATTTCATCGTTTTATAATATTGAGATGATTATACTTAAATAATTACAATAATTACAAGTGTACATACAATACATTTTTTTATGGTGATTTTTTTTTTTTGAAAACGGATTTAAAATGTCTCAAAGACTTCGAATTTCAAAAACGTATTATACTTTTTACAATGTAAAAATGTACATGGTGATACATTTAATAGTTGCATTATTATTAATCACTTAGATAGAAGGCATGATTCGATTACTGTTACAGGTCGTTTGATATTTATCATCCAATGAGAAGCGTTCAAAGATTGATACTTCTTGATTATATTTCTAAAAACACCGTACCAAATAAACCCAATGGTCAAACTTATGAAAACCACTATATAATATCCGTCAACAGATACAACACAACTTCCTCCATTGGTTTTGCATAACTGAAATAAAAATTAACCGTGATCATGTTGACATTCATATTATTGAAATAATGTACAAAGAGTATTTTGTAACATAGGTACATATAGGTAAAATAAACATAAAGTATAAAAATTACAATAATCTTACATTTGTTAAATCTGGAGTTGTACAGCAATTCTGGTCATTATTCGAACACTTTCTAAAAGTTAAAAAGGCGACCAGTTTCAAAACCAAAGTATTGGATAGTAAAAATCCCAAATAGAAAAATGTATTGAATAACGTCATATATGTGCCTCCAAAACGAGGATCACTCAATCGGCAAAAGAAAGCAAACAAAGTTAATAACATGAAAAAATTCAGTACCTGAAAAAAAAAATGATTTTATACTTAATATTATTTATTAAAATTAAATTTATACTATAAACGTGAATGAGTTTACATTGAAAATACACAAAAACATTAATTTGCATAGTGGTTTGATTAAATTAATCTATTTAATAAATTTCAATCGATTTTCTTTCATATTTAAATAACTGTAGTGATATTACATAATATTACCTATACTAATGCATTAACTAGTTCAATAAATTCGTATAAAATAGTCACATACATTAACTTACCTCATTTGTTATTAGTACTAATCCCATTATAAAATAATAATACGTCGGTACAGTGACAAGGCCATCTTTTCGTATCAAACTCGGCGTGTAATAAATCAGTACAACATAAGTAGTACACCAAATTAATCTAAAATAAAATTATAAAATTATATATATTATATAGGTAGTATAAAGAGTGATGCTTTAAAAGGTGAAACACTCTTTTCTCAAAAAGTTTTGAAATTTTAGGAAATATTTTTGTTAGTTAATATTTTGAAGTCATTACATACAATTATCATTTCATAGCAATACATTTTTGAAAAAAATTTAATTATTTACTATATTTGAAGTGTTTTATTTTTTTGAATGATAGCATATATTTTTAACTTTATACTCTGAAGCAGATTATTATTTTGAACGAGTAGTTAATTATAAGTTTTAATTATTTTAACTTCAGATGATCGGAGTGGAGTGACAGGCGGATATCCATCAAATTGTTGGTCCACTATACCGCTCATCTGAATTTTGATTACTTTATATAAGATTTATTGATGCATTTTAGATAATGCAATAATGATTGCAACAACTGAACAATAATAATATAAACTTTAAATGCATCTGAATAAAATGTATTTTATATTATTTAATAATGTAGTTAATTGGTTTGATATACCTGAAGGGTGTTATTTTGAGGAAATAAGTCATCGGTTTCGGGCCAGTAACATACTTAGATACAAATATAGGCATTATACATTTTATAATATAAAGAGCTGTAGTAATTATCATAATATCATCTTTAGATACACCAGCGTCAATAAGCTTCAAATTTGAGACACTATCTGTTGCAGTGTACCCAATCTAAAACATGAATAAAATATAGATAGTACAATTTATAATAAAAAATACATTTAATCACAAAAAAATATTAAATTAAATACATTGGTGTAAAAGTAGCTTATTTATATTAATTAATTAACTTATTTTATCAGACTAAATTAATATTCACCCTGGTTGTCAGTAAAGCTAATGCCAACACTCTAATCCGTGGTAGTTTCAAAATATCCCATAGTAATTTATAATTCTGAAATACGTTGATATTTACGTATCCATCTTCTAATCTGCTGTCCTTTTCTTTTTTGAATATGGCCACTATAGATGTGATCACCAATGTCATCGAGCCATAAAAATATAAAAAACCTATGCAAATAAAAAATATATAAATGCAGTGTAATTTAAACACAAACACATATATCATTTAAATTCCGTTAAGTTATTTCATATACAGTACCTACAATTATAACTATACAGTAGTCAGTAAGTAAAATTTTAATTTCCTAATATAATACTTAATATTTGAGACAAAAAAAATGTTCGGTTCTAAATGCTGCTGTAAAAATAACATCTCTTACTAGTTACTTTACATAACTATACTATATTTTTTGAAATAAAAATAATAATGATACAGTTATAAGGGTATCAGAAGCGACTCATTTTTAGTCGTAAAAAAAGAACATTTTTTATTTTATTTAATTAAACCTTGAAGACTTTATAATAGGTATCGATCACAATAGTTTCCAATATTTAAAAATATATTAATTCCAGAAGTTGTAATAAACGTCTAGATATTTATACAGTTTTAAGCATTTTGGGTTGTATTTTTCAGGCGTATTTAAGTTATTTGAAGTCCAATGCGACCAGAAAAATATTTTTCTCTTTCAAAATGAACATTGTAAATTTTTAATCGACTATCAGAGTTATGACTCTGGTCATATTAAAATGTACATTCACATTAAGTAATTGCTGTAAAATAAATAATAATACATCTGTACATAGTAATCATTACACTTCTACATACTGCAGCACTGGAATGAATTCAATTAAAGGCTAGTCAAATATTTAAGTGTACGTTTCAAGAATCGGTATGTCGCTTCTTTTATTTTCGTACTTTTCATAGAAACTAGTCCTCCAGTGCCAGGTGTAGATCGAAAATAAGTGCTATTGAATTGATCTGACACAAGCAGTGTGAAACAAACGGAACCTATGAACATTCCAAACGGTACTCCTACTGAATTGCACGTTGAGGCATAACCCACGTTCTTCCTGTAAACGAAATCAAAATTTAACAATATCTCTGTGACAAATAAAATTGCACCATTGTAATTTTCACTGCTCACTTATTCAGCATAGTCAGTGCCCAACCGTCGACGACAATATCTTGAGTAGCTGATAAAATATTAACCACAAAAACCACGATTATCAACATTTTTAGATTTGGTTTTCCCGACGCAGGTAACCAACCGTCGATGTTACTGGCCATGTAAAGTACCAGTAAACCTATCGGCCATTAAAAAAGGAAAACAAGTTTCTAAAAATTAAACGTGAATTTTATAAAATATAATATATCATATTATCTGTAATAGTATATTGTGTGGCAAGGGCGGGAAGTGAGCCATTTCGCACAAGACTGAAATGAGCCACTGCACATATTATTTTTTTGTCACGCCCATAACGATATGTGCGCACGGCACTTTTGGGGATTTCCGCTTTACCCCCCCCCCCCCGGCACTATTAGGGATTCCCACTTTACCAGCCGCTGGACGGAAAAAGGACGCTTTCGAACGCTTCAACGAACCAAACTTTCGGTGCAGGTGTGACAAAAAAATAATTACAGTTTACTGTAGAAAATCTTCGGAAAATAAATAAAATATTCAAATATCAAACTAATATATAATAATTAATATATAATTGAGTGGCAAGGGCGGGAAGTGATCTATTTAAATCACTGGCTGCATTTCGCCCAAGAATTAAATTGCCTTCTTACACGAGCCACACATAGGTACTACTTTTTGTCACGCCTCTGCATTCATCGATCACCACGGTATAACGATTTGGTTTTATTTATTTTAAGCTTCATGCATAGAGGTTATGATATTAATATAAGATGTAACCAAAAGTTTATGTTTTGTAAGGACCGTGGTATAGATTTCAGTACCTAAGTATTAATAATAAGTAATAACTGTTATATTAAAATAAAATAAGAATAAAAAACGTTAATCACTGCAAAGGTAATGCACTATGTAGGGATGTATGCGCAACAATCAGATTATTCTACGAAAACAATTGCATGAAATAAAAATGTTTACTCGTCAAGCAAGTAGATTATAATATGAATATAAGATGTCTGATGTAACAAGGACCGTGGTATAGATTTCAGTGTCTGGTTGAGCAGAGGATACGCTCGTGATATGCGCTCCTAGCACTTTTGGAGATTTTCATTTACTGTCACATTCATTTTACTGTCCTGCAGTTTTGGGGATTCCCACTTTACCGCCCGCTGGACGGAAAAAAGGTCGTTTTCAAACGCTTCAACCGTCATCGAAAACTAAACTTTCGGTGCATGCATGACAAAAAATATTATTTACATTTTTATAAAATATAATATGAACAAATTTAATGTGTACTTACCCATTAACAATTGGAGCGGTATTAGCCAACATTTACGTCTACCTATGCATTTAAAATAGAGTGCATCTACTACTGGAGCCCACAAAAGTTTCATACTATAAGGCCACAATGAAATACTAAATGCGGCCTAAAATAATACAAATCATTTTCAATTAATAACTATAGATTATAGACATTAATATTATGTTAGTATGTTAATAAAAAAAAAAATGGTAAGAGGGTGTTGCTGTGCTGTACAGTAGGTTACAAGTGGGTGGTAATGGATGGTGTTAAAATTTAATTCAATGGTATACTTATTAGTTATTATCATTCATAAAAACGATTCTGAGCGGAGACGGTTTGTCAGCCTAGAATATATTATATTATAACTATTTATAGTGTTATGATTAATACGGCAGTCGGTTGAGTTGAATTATTATTATTTTTTTGCTATCATATATGTATAATAATATACTTTTGAAGTTTCAAGTACCAAAAAACAATATTTTTTAAATATAACACAAAACTAAAATTGTTCTCTTCATTTAAGTATCTAATTTCTTCCAAATTTTAATATAAAATAACTATAAAAAAACTGCTCTTATATTTTTGTCTCTTTTCTTGCATTTGCCTATTTTTTGTAGTGATCGTATATTATTCTAGGTAAGTTATAAATTTGTTTTATGAAATGGAGAAATTAAATACAAAGTTTGAATTCGTGTATTTTTGCATATTTCGTCATATTTTAGGAAAAGTATATATTTGATCGATTTTTCGCATATTTGTACATATTTCACATTTTTTTTTTTACTTAAATGTAAGTAAAATTATTAGGAAAAATCATATTTGAATAACATTAAAAAATATCTTAAAAATATTATGTTTTGGGTAGGTACCTTAGGGGCAAATAGCGTTTGATATTTGGGGAGGCTGAAGCCTGAAACCCTACTATTATAATTGTAATATTGAAAAAGCTTAAAAAAAATTGAAATATGTTTGGGAGGGCTGTTAAAGTTGTTGGTGGAAGCTTTTTTTTCAAATTCTCTCGATTTGCGCACATTGTACTTAGATATGAAAGATTTTATGACTCTGTTTGTTACAAATTTGAACTAATTGAAATCTAGATTCTAGATTGTACCAAGAAAATAAAATCAGTAGATGAATAAGTGTTAGTTCATCACGGTGTTCGCATATCACGTTGTTGAGTTATTCGTCGTTATTTATCAAACCAGTATTAGTATTAGCTTCTATAATTCACCACGCCTATGTTTCGTATGTATTGAAGAAAAACAAATTTACATAGTTGATTTATTGAGAAGTGATTTTAGAGCTGATCTCTTATGATGCGTAAAATAAATTGAACGATAAATACACAGTTTTTAGCAGATTTAATGTGCCTAGTTAAAGTGATTTATTTCTTAATAAATATAATATTTCCATTATAATATTATAGATAAACAAAATGATGCTCATTTAAATTTTTTTTTATTTGAACTTTATAGATACAATTAGCATTCTCAAAGCTGGGCAAGTTAAGATAACGCTACACGGATGTTTGTTGTCTCCGTCTTACAAGTGCGTAACATAGCTAATTTACGCTCAGCAGATAACATTTAACTCCGTTAGTTTGTGAAGTTAAAAATTATCTTGTTTAGAATAAAACATTTCACTTTCCAATCGATAATAAAAATAGCATACTTGCAAAATAGATGAATTTGGATATATTTTCAACCTTATAGAGCGTATGTTTATATTTATATTATACTAGTAGTGCCTAAATATCTAGTAAATATTCGAATATCCAAGGAAGTTATAAACTGTGAAGTAATATCACATAAATCTATAAAAAATTTAATTTATAAAAATACCACGTATTTCCATGATATACTGATATCGAAGATGGATAATACAGTATACTATAATATGGCATAAATTATATGCATACATAATATTAAATATACGTATACCCATAGAGGCATTGACAGATGTTTTGAATGAATTATTACAGAACAATAATTTTCTTTTAAAAGTCATTAAAAATAATTTAAGTCGATCCACTAAGCGATAATTAGTTCTTAAATCATTTATTATCATTTAAATTATTTTGTTTATGAATTGCAAAAAATATGTATTTTTATTATTTTTATTACGTCACAGCAATGATTATCATTGATTAATGATTATATAACATAAAAGTTAATAATATTACTTGTTATTTGTTTGTCCTGTAGGTTAAATGCTTAATCGTTATTAATTCACTAAAAGCCCTTAATATTCTTTTCAAGTAGTTTCAACCCCCCCCCCCCCCTCTATATTATCAGTACAAATTATGAATCTGTCATTAAAGCTATAATTTCGTTTATTTAGGAAGCAAGTTTTATTTTATTACATAATATAATTGTTTTAATTACATCTTGTACATTATAATTGTTGAGCTATCTTAGTTAAGCTAAATGAATAAGTTAGTCAGGCCAAAATACAATCTTGGTACATTTTAGGTAGGTATGCATAAGCATATAATATGCTTAGAATAAGCATGCTTCAAATGAGTAATGACGTCCATAGTTTAATTGTTTGTGGTGATGTTTTTTTGAAATAAAATGTAATATTAGTATATTATCTAAATTATGTTAGGTAATTATTATTTTAGGAGAAGTACTGGCACCATAGTTCCTCCTCCAGTCCTCGATATCCATAATAAAAAACAAAGGTAATTATTATTTTAATGGGCAGGTATTTCTATGTTTATATTTTTCTTCTGATTCCCCCCCCCCCATACAAAAAATATGTATAGGCCACTGGATTACGGGATATAGTAATAATTACCTAGTATAAGGCAACGGATATTAAATTACGATTTATTATATTTAGCTCCCCGCCCTCTTTGAAAAGCCCCTGGGTACACCACTGCTCTAAAGTTATTTATGTACGTTTAAATATAATTCCAACTTACTTGATCTTCATAGGTCACCATTTTTTTACTTTGTAAAATGATTGGAAGAGCACCAGACAAGCCTACAGGGATACCTTGTATTATGTACAGTATTATTAACAGGTAAAAATTAAACCAATCTCCATCCAGATTTGGTTTTTCTGATGTGGGTTTGCTGCATGTTCCTTCGCATCCTTCTAGATCGACTCGATTTCTGATTGATTTTGTCATAATTTGATAACATACAATTTTATCGTTTTACAATAAAATAATACAAACGGCATAAATTCTCTATTACACGTTGAGACTAGAAAACAACAAAATAACATTTAAATTAACTTTTTTTTGAATTTATCTGATTTATATATAATATGAAACTACAATTTGTATTAGCGAGTAAAGTTGGTGTTCGTTACAATATCACTGATATCATAAATGGACAAAAACATTTAATAGGTAACTATGTAAATCGTAACGCATAAAATCATTTTTTTATTAATCCAAAACCTAACCTTTTAGTGTTAATTGACCTATTATAAATGTAATTAGGTATAAGCTATATGTCACATAACATACAATTTTTTCATACCTACGTAAGATACATTTCAACGTATACGATGTGTTTATTATAAATGTGTATGTACAGTGTTTACAAAACAGTTTTATAAACAACTCAAAACTCCCTACCTATATATCAATATGTTGATCAATTAATTTAATAATAATAAATTAGTAAATATTAATAGGTATATTAACTCCAAAGCACTGGAGAAGTGAATTTAGTACAATGATGAATAGAATGGATCTGTGATTAAGAATCAAAAAATGTATGGATGTATAAATTTAAATACTCCTTTATTAAATAAGCGTCTACAATACTAAAATTACGTCTCATACAAAAATACCATATAGCTAATATTTTGCATTTATCAGTTCAAATTTGTAGTTGTTGGGTTTATATTGTTGGAATTTTACAAATAATTAAAGTTAAATGTAAGAACATTATCTGCGATTTTTGTTTGTATTCTCGTTGTTTTAATTTTTAAACTTTAATATAATATTACATATTATACACAATTTTCTTGAAAATTTAAATATCCTAAAAATCAATCGATCGAACACAGATAATATAATATAATATACATGTATATGAAAATAGAATTTTTTCTTATCTTTAAAATTGATAATAGGTCAATTATTCATACTCTGAATTCTGATATTATAAAAACTATAATTACACAGAATTGAAACTACTGAATGAACATTTGGTATGTTTTACTTTTGTAAGACGGAGGCAACACATATGAGTGTGTATAGAGTCTTCTTAACTAAGTAAATTATTAAACAAAAATTAAAAAAAAAAATCACTTACATTTTGTTATTTTTTTCAAAACATCTGCAACTAACTATTATATTAAAAGTCTTAACGTATAGGATAAAAACCAAAAGTTCAAAATATTCACATAACCATTACTGTGCTGCGTTATAATGTTGTTCGAAACCCTTGCAATAGATAGGAACACAGTAAGTGCTTCAAGTTATCATAGGCTTTCTTATTATACATACACGTTAAAAAATGTACTGAAGGCTCGTTTTTCTCCTATCTTATGATACAACTGTGACGGACTAAGACAAACGTCTAGTATAGTTCTGAGCTGGAATGTACACCAGAAATATTCTATTGAACTGAAAGTCCAAACCAGTTACTAAAACAAGTTGTAGAATATGACCTTCGCGTTGTGAGGATAACCTGAATCAGTAGGGTGAAATTGTTAGTTAATAGTTAAGATTTAAAACAATACTAGTATAGAGCTGCTAGTTAAAAAAATGGCATAAGTAATTCAATTGGTAAAGTGCCAAATAATAGTTAGTTACATAAGTAAATTAGAAAAATATCAGTGCAGCTTCATTACAGCTCAGCTAGACGAATATTTAGAATTTAAATGCGATCATATCCATTCGTTCGTCACAAATGGTTTGTGCAACTCTATAATAATTAGAGGTACTGGAAGATATTTTGATAACAAAATCGATAAGACTATTCTTATAATTATTGATTGATCGACTGTCTAAGACTTAGAATGTGTATATTTGGTATGTGGTGCATCTGTAAGATGGAGACAACAAATGTCTGTGTAGCGTCCTCTTAAGTACTTTAAGTCTCTGTTTTCCTTGTGAGATAATAAATAGAAAATAATATATATCAAATATTTAAATGTGAATAAGTATACCCATTATTAAGATACTATTTACTTATATGAAGTACCTACAAAATAATATAACTTGTAAGTTTTGAGTATGTGAGCAATTTAATAATATTATTACTAAGCCTAATATTATCTTTTATTTGCTTAAGTTTCGAATTCTGCATAAGCCTTATAATTAATCAAATAAATAGTTCGTGATAGCTCATGAAAAAATATTTTTTAAATAATTTTGATAACTAAACATGATCTATTTGAATAACATATTAACATATTATAATATAATATTAATTATTCATAATCGTCATTCATTGATATTTTACTTACTAAAAAATCAGTGAAATATTAAAAGGTAATTATAGTGAAATAATTGGCAGTTTCAGATCCAAAATATTTAACCCGACTCGAAGTCTAAGCCACGTTTTATAAAGTCAATGTAGTATTTATATACGTTTTTGGGTACCCATTTTAAATATAAAAATAAAGAATTACACAACAGTTTTCAAATAAGTGAATATTGCTGTCTGTGTGTAGAAAATGTTATTATAAATGTACTATATTCGAAGTGTATGCCTGGAAGTAAAACGGTTTATCAATAAATAAAATACTTCGCGTTCGTCCGTACACAACGAGTAGAATAGACTAATTATTAATTAATATACGGATTACTGGTGGCCAGAGATCAAAGACAACACACTGTGTCGGCCATGGTTGAAATATACAGGTTATTGAATATTGACTCGGATTGTTATCATCAGAAACAAAATGGCTGCGTAAAGGGATATCACAAATATACATTTTTCAGATCATCAAAAACACGCTGACAAAAGCTAACAAATTCAAAATTCCCTTGCATGTATACTTGATTATTATTGGTTCCCTTTAGGCTGACATTTTTGTTTTTATCATCAAATATTTGATCTAGAAGGGTTATGAATGCAATAACCTTGTATATTTCAACCATGGTGTCGCCAGGTGCCACAACGATAATAATTTATAGCTGAATTTTTAAGTTTTTTTTTTTGGTAGGCTGGATATGTGAAGAAAAAATTAGTCAAATGGTTACAGTATAATAATTAATAGGTGATATGAATTTATAATGAATTTGTTAAATTCGAATACATTCGAATACTAATAAAATAATATAAAATCATAATATACGATAAATGTGCTTGGGCCGAGAATCGGACAATAAAAGCCCGTGTGGCCTGTCACCGTTTTAAACTTGGTAGTCGACCGATCACACACCGACCGACCTGCGTCCTTCATATGTATATATTATTATGTATGGCAATGCTCAAAGGAAGTGGACAGGGTTGGCGTGCAGTGACTAGTGAGTAAGTGGTGTGTGTAGTTGTGGGTATTTTTGTGAGTGTATACTTAAAATAGTAATAAAATGGTAACAATAAAGTCTAGACGTCTAGTAACCGAGTTGTTGTATAATAAAACAATTTGATATAATCACATCAAACACAAAATATAAATAATAATATTATACGGCCCTTTTGGTTCAACAAGTAAAAATCTGTTGCATATAAATGTATATAAATATAATGATATCGTTTTAATGATGTCGCAAGCTATTTGAGCTGTAAAATCATAATGTTGGCTATTAGAGCCTATAAAATAGTTGTAACGATAATAATAATATGAAATATGTAGCCCTTGTGGCCCAACCAAAATGTAATAAAAAATTTCAATAATACACAATACAATAGTAAAATAATTTATGGCCCAACAGGGAATAATATACAATCAAATAGGTACTTACAACTTGGTGGTGTGTGGTCTGGACAGTCACATCATGTACATATCCTATATATGATTTCATAAGATAAATAAAATAATACTATACACGGTAGCGATTCTCGCCTATACAAGAATGATAAAATTTGGCGATTTTGCGTTCTCCAAATAAATGGAATATTTCAGTGGCGATTAGCGGGCACGAATATAATAGGTAATAAAAATATGCGGCGATTAGCTGTTAGGCGATCAATCCAATAACTTGAATGTGTGTAATAAAAAAAAATTGCCAATTCGTGGCCACAATTTATACTCAACTGTTCCACGGCGATTAGCTCCTGACAATTAATAATAAGAAAAACTAAAGGCTTTTCCCACCGGGAAAATGTATAGCGTTGGCCGTATACCGCGGATTCCTTAGAACTGACAACTTGGGAGGCCGCGTAAAATATTTGCTCACTGATAACGTTTTCGGGTACATATACTTATTACGAAAAACTGCAAACTACACAATTCATGAAAATATAAAAGAATACAGATCTAACATTTATCTGCTATGCGTGTGTGAGTGTGTGTCGGCCGGCGGTGGTTATGATAGGCGGTGATTATTGGTTATCAGTTCTAAAAAACGATTCCGAGCAAAGACTCTCAGCTTGTATTTCTAAGTATATTTTTTTTGATATTATTGCTGTTAAGAGAACTCTACATTTGTTGTCTCCGTCTTATAAGTTTGTAACGTAGAAAACGAACGCTCAGCAGCTTAGCTACATTAGTTTAAAAATTAGAGTGAATCGACCAATTATGAAACTTGATATAGTAAGAACATTATCTGTGTTTGGACGTAGATTTTTACGATAGTTCAATTTTTAGCAAGTTATGCGTATATAATATAGCATAAATTAAAAATGCTCATAAATCACTTGAAATCTGAACCATCGTACACAACCTACTCACACACACATATTATATAGCCTATAGGTCACATATTATGACCCACATTATAGATCGATTCACTCTAATTTTTAAACTAACTGAGTTAAACGTGATCGGCTGAGCGTACATTTGCAATGGTGAACACTTGTAAGACGGAGACAACAAATATCTGTGTAGCGTCCTATTAATTTAATTTATTTTTACTATTAATTATACAAAATATTGAATTAATTTTTGCCGAAAACATTGCATTTTAAAATGTCAAAATATAGAGTGTAATCACTGTCTATACAATATAACAATATACTTTAAAAGTTTCAAATACTCAAAAAGATTATTTTTAAATCA